AAAAGGATAAGGATATTGATTCACCTAGGCTAGTAGTTACATTATAGAGTGATTGGTAAAATGTGGCTAACAGTTTTTTAGTGAATGAGAACACAATTGGAGACAATCAAATGTATTTAAATACAAAATTACAGAACATTTTAGTAAAATCTAAGAACCATACAGTGAATACTTCATTTACTAAATGTCAATCAATGGTCTCAAACTTGACTGTTCCTTTTTCAAGCATTAGTCAATTGATTCAGTCTTCATTGTTCCTATATTTTCATTCTAATTGCTTTTTGTTCCCGTTCTTGCCTTCTCAACCTTCTGCTATGAGACATACTAATCCCGACTAACGTTATATACTACTCATGTCAATATAAGTAACATAAATCACACTGTTACTACGATATCAATAAATGTACATACGATGTTTTACTGATTTATTCATACACTTTAACGTTTTCATCTAGATTCATTATCCATCGACTGTTTGTTTAGCCAAATGTAGAAAAAGTTTCCATTAATTTTGATGAAATAACGACTTTTATAAAAAATTGAGTTTTATTTGTATATTTATACTACTTGTATATACTTGAAGTAGTCAGACTATGTAGTTAATCAGACATTGGTTTATTGAATTATCATTAGGAGTTCATTATACTTTCAATAGTTAGTGAGTTAACCCGGCTAGCTTAGTCGGTAGAGCATGATGCTCTTAATCTCAGGGTTGTGTGTTCGAGCCCACGTCGGGCGTTGTCCGGTGAGACAGTTCACGTGTCTTCTAGTCTGGTAGTTAGTGAGTTGATATCATTTCTGTAATCAACACCGATTTAAATCTAACCTTCCCCTACTACTAGTCAACATTATTCTGATCAGAGTAACATTTTATAAGTAGAGATGAGTAGTGGCTAGCAGTGGAATCCACAATATGTTATATGTACTTGTACCCAAATGTTGTTGGTCAAACCGAGTGTCGAAACAGTAATTCTTGCTTCAAACACCTAATACATTATCCACTTAGCTGCTGAGTTTGAATAGCCACTGGTTTTTGAAATGATGTGCATTATAATTCATTTGTACTTTTTGCTTCAATCTTCTCATTGAAGTTACGGATTGCAAATGACCAGTCGTTTTTCCTACATACATTCACATTACGAGACCCAAATAGAACAAAACGCACGTTTGTTTGTATCTTCTCATTTGTTATTTAAGACTATAAGTGAGTGAACATCAATTCTATGATTTAGCTACATCCACCTGACGAGTCCCAAATAGAATGAAACGCGCATTATGGATTCCACTGCTAGCCACTGTTCATCTTTGCTTATAAAGAATAAAAAAAGGAACTATTTTATTTACTCAATCGTTATTAAGTTTAGTGATTTATTAATGGTTATGCCTTTGAGAGTTGACTTTCTCTTTATCTGTTTATCTCAGTATAACTACAATATACACATGGATATGTATGTAAATATTGAAACAAAATAACATTTTCTCCACTTCCCCCCCCCCCAAAAAAATAAGTTCATCGAATTTCCATTGATTCTTAAACATATATACATGAATTTGTACATGTATACACTCTTGTTCACCTGTTCACCAACCAGCATCAAAACATGTTAGTTACTTTAAACAATACTCATGTATAAATAGAATTTCCTTAAAAAGAAACTGGGATTTATTTTTATTTGTTTGTTTGTTAGTTTTATGTTTCCTCTGTGAATTTCTATGGAAGAAGTTGTTACTAAGGATTACAAAACAGGACAGAAATGAAAATTAAGATTCATAAAACGAAAAATACAAAAACAAAACATTTGAAATTTGTACCGTTTATTTATCTTAACCGTTTGTTCATATATTTGTATGTGTATCTATGTTTGCTTGTAACTATGTATACATGTGTTATGATAGGGATATATTGAGTACAACATTCATAATAATAAGAAGAATAGGAATTATCCTTAAAGAGTAATTTCGATTTATTGAATGAATACTTGCATACACAAAAAAATTTTATTCAAATATTTCTGTGATCTGTAAAGAGAAGGATTGAAATAGAATGAAGGTTAAAAAGATGAACATAAACAGAATATATTTGATGGATGATGGCTAACAGTGGAAACTGGGATACACATTTTGTCCCATTTTGAACTCGTTAACTCGATGTACAGCCGACATTCAATCCCGGACTCGAACTCAATGCTATTCACCCGAAACATCATTGCGTCTAACTACTTAGCTACTGAGTTCAGATAGTTACTGGCTTATGCAATGGGGTAAAGTTTAGTTTATTTGTATTGGTCCCAGAATATATAGTAATTTTGAGACCCAGGTAAATTCAGCTGATGAGTCTCAAATCAGATGAAACACGCATCCTGGATACCAGTGCTAGCCATCGTCCATCTCTTAATTAAAAAGAATATTGCTTGTGACCTAATGGCAAATAATGAAGGATTCCACAAATAATGTACATGTGTTGAAGACACTAATCAACTACAGTTGGAGTATTGTAATCAAAATGATAATTTATTGAAAGAATACATTAAGTGGTCGATGAATTTAAGGCTTTTTGTAGCTGACGTCCATGTAGTGAATAAAGACTGATGGTGTTCTGTTATGTCATGAGTAAGACAGTTTTAAGAGAAGTTTTATTCAATGATTTTAATAATCTAATGTTTAAATGATTGAAATGGACTGACCGGACTCTATTGTTGAATGTCTTCCATTGTAGTTTTGGTTAGATAATTGTGAGGACTGGCCTCAGGTGAAATGAAGGAAGCTCTAGTTTATTGAAATGATAACGTTTACTAAAGTCTTTAAATACCAGATATTTTAAGCTGTTGATAATAAATCACTTTAAGCTGTTTATCTCTACTTTCATACATTTTAAGCGGATCGATTGTTATAACCTTGATTACTGTAGGTAAATTATTAATAAGTTAATATTTCCCAATAAGTTCGTGAATCGATCTATGCTGTACCAACATTGAGAACCTGTGAACACTAGATGACCTTTTTTTCGAGTTTGGGACTATTTAATAATGAGCATCCATGACCATTCACTAAAAGTAATCAATCTTAGAATCTTCGGTCTCACGCGCGAACACTTAGACTTCAGATCAGTGAGTCATTATCCAACGGTGTTAATATCTAATTTCAATGGATCCATGATATTGCGCGGCCATCTTTCATTTTCTTCGTTGGGTAACTTCCTCAAATAATACACGGTTTAACTCTACTACTCACAGCTTCTCATGTTCTTTTCAAGCTATTCACGAGTGAACATACACTACTAGTCATGATCTCTATGAAATCGAACAATTTACACGAAGTCGTATTAACGATACCCAAAACTTTTACTAGAAACTTTTAACTTAATGAAAATACTGAAATAATCCATTCACAATGTACATAAATCCCGATAGAGACTAATCAAATGTGCTTCCTAATATCAACAATAAGAAAATATAAAATCCTTACAAATAATTGATTCCATTTGAATCATTTGAATTACATTTCCAAATTACAGTTGAACAAATCGTTTCATTCAATGTTTCATTATACTGATTATTGATATTTTAGATGACCTTTGAACGACGTCATAATGACCTTGAGAATATCCACCTACTTATTAGGACTGAATGAGAGTTATAATTTTATTTACTGATATTTGTACAAGGGGGCACCAGATACATATGCGCTACACAAATTTCATTTGGTATGTATGAAGGCTGTGATACTGCCCGGATACCCAAACCGAAGCAGATAGTTTTCTTAAGGGGCCACACCCGGAGCCTTCGACCTAAAGGTCCGATCTACAAGGCACTGGAGCATCGTAAGGAGATGCAGTCTCATAGTAGTCGATGATTAACGATTGGTTCATGCGCCATTTGTTCCCTCAGGATAGTGGAGCTAATCAGAGTTATATAAAATTATAATTTACAGTGAATGGTTAAAATTGAAAAAAGAATTAGATTTAAGGTTTTCATCATGAATGAACATCAACTAAAATATCAAAACTCAATTTAACCAAAATGAATGACTGAATTTCGCGCTGGCAAATACATGACCTTCTAACTTAAATCTGATTGGTTCATTTATAAATTATAGTCTCGCCAATTTATTTAACTAAATTTTGATTAGTTAATAATATAAGACAAATTAGTTATGTAACTCGAAAAAACCTTTTCATTGATGTACATAAAACGGTAATGATTTTTCCAACAAAAAAAACACAAAAAAGCAAAAAAAAGAGGAAATTTAAGGAAATTTATACATTTCTAATAAACAATGTAACATTTAAACAATAATCTATGCATAGCAACTGATTTAACACAATTCAGGGAGGTGTTTAATAAATGGAATTAAAAGGAAAAAAGAAATGAATTTTATTAATAATAATAATAATAATAATGAGTACAATGTATTGCGATCCTCATGTACAACTGCTAGTAATGAAGACAATGATGGGATTTATTCAGATGAAACAGAGAGTATGATTAATCATGCAAGAAGTTCACCAATGAATGATAGTATAGATACAATTGCAAATACAATTAGGATAACACCAACACCACCACCAACAACAGGAACAGGAACATCACCACCATTGACATCAAAAAGTAACACTGATGATGATGATGATCATAGTGAACGAGATATTAATCATAATAATGATACTAATTCACATACAACTATTGATGAAGATTTAATGACTAGTTACGAAGCTTCAGTGGATATAGAATATAACAATGACGATTATGAATTACATAATGAGTTAATTCATAAATCACCTAACTCGATGAAAAAACCAGAGAAACAAGTAACATTTCAAGATATTGTTGAAATTTCAACAATATATTCTATTACAAATGAATCACAAGAGTCCATATCACATCATTATGAAGATGGTGATGATGATGATGATGATGATGATGATGATGATGATGATGATGATGATGATGATGATGAAGATGATTATAACGACGACGACGACGATGATCTTGATGATGAAGAAGAAGAAATGAAAATGACAAAACAGATTAGCATGAATAAAAGACTAAAAAATCGATTAAAAAATGTGGTCAATTCCAATGATCATAAAGTTGGATTAGTCATAGCAACAGTTGAACATAAAAATAACAAAAATAATTCAGATAATAATCAAATTCTTTCAGAAAAAGATTTATTAAGTGTAAGTGATAGATTATAGTTAAGTATTTTGTTGTTGTTGTTGAAATTATACCAATTCATTACTGATTAGTGACTGATTGAATGTTCATCTGGTCTACTATATACTAATTAGACATGATTAATAGCCTTAGAGATTAGATTACTGCTATATCTAGAGATTAGAATCTTTATCAGAAGGGGTTTTGTGGAGATTGTAGCAATTTCAATGGTTAAGATCATGAGTCAGTTGAAGCTAGACCACCACTACAATCTCTACAAAACCCCTTCTGATAATAATCAACATATACTCACTAGTGACTAGCTTCAAGAGGTTTATCCTGGAGTTCTAGTGAGAAGTAGTGACCAGTGGAGTTCAACCAGGTCTGTTGTTAGATAGTAACTCACTGAAGACAATGGTGGATGTGTCGCTCAATTTCGTGGATTGATTGAAGTTAGACATTAACACCGTTGGATGCCGATTTAGTGGTCTAGTGGTTAAGTGCTCGCGCTCGAAACCAGTAGGTCCTGGGTTCGGATCTTGCGTAGGGCGAGGATTCCCACAGTAGGATGGAACGGCCGTCCAATGCTTCCAGGCTTTCCATGGTGGTCTAGCTTCAACTGACTCATGATCTTAACCATTGAAATTAGATTCCTTCTCTACCGCTTACTACTTGAGAACTCAAATACTAGAACCTACCATGTCACAAAAATGATGGTAGAAGATGAATAAGAAGAAATATTATTTCAAACAGTGTCAAATAGAATATAAAAATTTCAGGTATTTATAGCTTTTAGTAGAAACGAAATCATCATTAAAGTCATTCTATCCATGTGCAGTGGTTTTTAACATTTGTCTACAAGTTAAAGTTTTGGAATATTCTTCCAAAAAAAAGTGATTGAATGGAATGTCTTCAACTCTTTCTAAGTTTCTTAAAACTTCTTTGAGTTCAACTGAAGGACGTCTTCACAATTATCTAACCAAAACTACAATGGAAGACATTCAGCAATAGAGTTCAGTCAGTCCATTTCAATCATTTAAACATTAGATTATTAAAATCATTGAATAAAATTTCTGTTAAAACTGTCTTACTCATGACATAACAGAACATCATCAGTCTTTATTCACTACATGGACGTCAGCTACAAAATGCCTTAAATTCATCGACTACTTAATGTATTCTTTCAATAAATTATCATTTTGATTACAATACTACAACACTGATATATTTCATCAATCAGAATCATCTCTATTTTTATGTATTTATTCGATTATATGGGTATAAATAACAGTAGTAACAGGCACTCACATTTTAAGGAATTGAAATGACTCCAATTGAATGATCATCCATTTCGTCGCAATCACAATGACAGTTTTCGAATATGGTTATCGATAGTTTATGTGTAGAACCATCCACAACGTGTTCACATTTCGACCACTTATTTATTCATTGAGTGTGTAAGTCGATGTATGTGAGAGAAGTTCCACTAGAGATTTTATTTCAATATCCCACTTTCATCATATTTGTGTTATTTCATTCATTATGTTGTACTGCTCTCATCTGTAATATTCACTGTGAACAATCAACCATAATTCTACATGGTTGAAATGTAATGGTTGATGGTCAGTCAGTCACCTAGTGAATGAAGTGTGAGCTATTTGAGGATATTGAGTAAGATGCAATAACGGTCAATTGAGAATGGTTAGAGTAACACCAACTCAATTCACTGCTCTCAGAATGTGAATGATTGAATTGATCGAGATTTGAATGTGAGTATGATGCATTGTGGACATGAGTGTGCAATGATTCTGATTGAAGTTTGATGTTGGATGTTTGATGTTTCAGTTGATGAATGATGTGATGTTGATGAGTTTGTGTTAGATTGACAAGTGAATGTGTGAAGTGATTCATCATTTTATCTTTATTGCTACTGACTATCGGAAATGTTGATATTGATTTTGAATTTGGAGTGATTTGTTCAGTAGAATGTATAATGTTGTTAGTAATGCACATTCGGATGAGTTATCTATGTGTATGTGTGTGTTTATGTGATGTTCATATGTGTGAAGAAGTGTTGATTTTGTTGTTGATTGAATGTTCATTCAGATCGAGAGCATAATCATTGACATTGCGAATGTTGATGATTGGTTTTATGTGTGTTGGTGTGTGTCACTGTCATCCTACAGTGATTATGAACCATGTGACAAATGAATTCATATCACTATTCACTGTATTAGTGTGTCGTTTGCCACTGATGTCGATAGATATAAGTAGTATGTATCAATAATGTAAAGTGGAATGTCTGGTGGCAGAAGGTTAAGAAGACTGAAAGCAAGAGAATGAGATCGAGGACCAAAATTGATTGATGTGTAAACGAAGGATTAATGGAGTCTGAGTCGATTAACTGATATTTTTCAACTGAAATGTTTGCTTAATGGTTCTTATATTTTACTAAGTGATTCTGTAATTTTGCTTTCAAATACATTCGATTGTCCACACTTATATTCTCGTCGACTACATAAGAACACTTTGTGAACTGCTGAGTCTAGTCTGTGTTGATGATGAAACATTTACCAATCGGATTGGTGGATGAACAATTATACATAGACATTTCCTACTGATTCAAATTAGTCATTTAAATAATAGAAGGAGAGTTGATAGAACTGTATTCTTCTTCTTCTTTTTCCACTACTCATAAACGTTGCACTACATGTTATCCATATATTAATCATTATGATTTGTATGATAATGTGATGTAATTGATTACATTCGATGTATAATATTCTATTGATGGTTTACAATGATGTTGTTCAATGTAAAATGGAATAATAGTCGAGTAGATGTATGAGAGTGAAATAGAATAATGTTCTGTTTGGAAGGATAATCTGATCTGTATAGTTTATTTATTAATATCAAATGTATTGATTGAATTTCCTGGACCAAATGATATCCAGTTTGAATATAATATCGATTTTTTATACGAATAACCTATCATGATAAGCGATTATATGTGTCAATAGTATGTTTAATGAACAGTTAATTAGTGATAAACTTTCTGTCTTATTGAGTATTTTGTCTGGGACTCAAATCTAATGTATCTATTAGTATCTTACTAGTAGTTCTTGGATGCATCTACCTTTCAGTGGTTGTTTTGAACGGTAACTGCATAGTTTCTATTATCCCTTAAGTTTCAACTTATCATTACATCAGTGAAAATTCTGATTGAACAAATATTTTGCCGGACTACGTTATGCTATTCATCTTTTAACGCTAATCATAGATTGATCTTAGTTGGTGTACCACTGAAAACTATAGAAACGCATTGAATTACTGTTTCCTTGGTGAATGTGGTTTGTTATCAATACCACCCAGAAGAACTGTCAGAGATTGAACCCAGAATCTTCAAAGCTTTAATATAAGCCCTTAATATTAGATATACTGACACAGTGTTCATTGGTACACTTTCAATTCAATTGATTTGCATTAGAGCTCGATAATTATCTAATGCCATTATAGTAACCTATTTCACTGTCGACATGTTAATACTTCAATTGTAACAGTTTCTCACTAGAATGATGGAAATATCATGAAGTAATCCACTGGTAAACTGATCAACATAGTTTAGTTGGAGAGATTTTGTGCAGATCTGTTAGATTTTTTAGTAATACTTTTCGCGTTACCGGAGTTGTGATTGATGGAGTTCAAATATGTCGAGTGTGCTACAGTTTTCAACAGTTGCATTAGATAATCATCAAGTTATATCGCAACTTGATTGAGTTGAAATTAGATCACTGGAAACTGAGCCAGTGATTCTAATGGTTAAGCCTCCTCAACGTGACTAGAAAGTCCTTGTTTTGATTGCTGAAAAGATCATGGATACGCACTAGTAAGAGGTCTCTTGCTAGGACGAAACAGCTATTCAGTACTTTATTTTCTTCAGCGGTACACTTACAGAGATTGGCCTGTGACTAATACAACCTACAAATCAAACCAATCTCAAAAAAACTGATTTAAATAATCCATTTTCAGTTAACTTTCGATAGACTACATAATCAGTATTCGTTTAGATATCTTTCTTAAATGATTCCAGTATTGTAAGATTACTTATTATCATACAAACAATGTTCCGTAATTGCCAAATCTTCTCATCGATAGGGTTCTAGTTTAAAAGACGACTGATCAGTTATTATTCAAATAATCTGATTGTTTGTATACTTAGTCTATTATGGTTAATTCAATTAAACACAGTATAAACACTTGAAAATAACTGAAATCCTTGCTTACTAGTCAATATTAAATTTATCGACAGTTGATAGAGTCGGTACATATATGATCAAACGTATCTAATAAGATACCGAATAGATAAAGTACTTATCAGTATTTACATCGATTTTTAAACGGCTTTGTTTATAAAGTGTAGTATATAATATTGAGGATAATTTTTGAAATTTTAATAGTTGAGATCATGAGTCAATTGAAGCCAGACCACCATGGAAATCCTGGAAGCACTAAACGACCGTTTCGTTTTATTGTGGGACTCCTCAGCAGTGCACGTCCACGATCCCGCCTCATGAGATTCGAATCCAGGTCCTATCGGTCTCGCGCGTGAACGCTTAACCACTAGACCATTGAGCGGGCCGACATCCAACAGTGTTAATGTCTAACTTCAACCAATCCATGAAATCGAGCGACATATCCACAACTGACCAGGTTGAACTCCACTGGTCTTTGCTTCTCACTTTAACTTCAAGAAATACCTCTTGGAGACCATCACTAGGACCTATCAGTCCTGGGTTGAGATCTCGCGAGTCGGGATCATGGATGCGCATTGCTGAGGAGTCCCATAGTAGGATGAAACAGCCTTCTAGTGCTTTCATGTTTTCCATGGTGGTCTAGTTTCAAATGACTCATGATTTCAACTATTAAAATTACTATAATATCCACAAAACCCCCTTCTGATATTTTTTGTCTTTCGCTACGTATGTTGAATAGTTTCAGATGGTAACAATGAAGTTTGAACCAT